CAGACGACGTCAATGAGAACTTTGACTCCAACTGCTGTCCAAGGAATTGAATCCAAAGTAATTTACTCCACTGTTTCTGCGAGCCTAGTGGCTTTAATCATTCTCCTTGTGGTAGGACTTTGTAGTTATAAACGACACTACAAGCACCAGAAATTTGTGTTGCAACATACGAGTAAAACACGTAAAATTCGGTCACAAGTTAAGGTCATTGTTATTTAAGAGAAACGGTAAATTAAGTATTTTATAGACGAGTCTCCCAAGACCTTAAAATAAGGGGAACAATTGTATATAAACATTTTTCAGAATTAAATTATTGGTGCAGCTTTGCCTTTGTTCACCTTCTTTATCGCAACGCTTCTTCTATTTATATCATGCCACAGAAAAAAACAGCCAATCAGAATGCAGGAAAGCCGTCGTATATTCGATAGTATTACACTCAACCTTCCCATCATGCTCCGCGCGTATGTCGCATTGATTGTGTTGGGCACTGTATTTTCTATGGCATGGTATAAAATAGTTATACAACGCTCTCTCGTTGTATACCATGGAATATCTCACCTGTCACTTGTATTTTCTTGGTATACAAACTTGCCTAAATGCTCGTGTGTATACCGAGAAAATACAATGGATTCATGATATTCTACGATACAATAAAGCGTTGCGTAACGTTCGTTGCATAACGCTGAATATATACATTCTTGTAAACAGCTGATATTATTACTAGCAGCTTATTGTTCATGAAAATTTAATCTTCAGTTCTAACTCGGCCTTTCTTTTTTAATTTTGTGTTTCAATTGTTGACTACATGCCGGGTAAAAAATCTAAATGTTGAGAACATTTTACGGTTTTAAGCCAGCATATTCAGTAATCGTAATTCCGCTACAAACTGCGAAAAGTTAAAAAAAACAAAAAAGGTTAATACATCTCTTTTGTTTGTTTTTTTTTTTTAACAAAAAATCCGTTTAAACTTATAAGGTTGTGTTATTAGAATGATAATATGATAAAATGTTAAAGGATATGTAAAAAGAGGCGTTATAAAGATCATGCTCTAATAGATAATAATAATAGATGAAGATAATAATGATGATAATGATAATGATAATGATGATGATGCCTATTATAAATAAATATCAAACTAAGCAGCGTCAATACAAAGTGTTTACAGCTGTTTCTTTTGGCTTGTCGAGAGTTTAGTTTTTCTTGCTTGTTACATTGAAATAAATATTTTTGGATATTGATTTCGGAAGTAAAATAGATGTGTTGTATTTTGCCTGTAAGAGTGTAGTGAGGGGGTGACGCTGGGGAGAAAAGTCCCTATCATTTCAAAACAATTCCAGCGAGTATCTCGCACCGCACCGAACCGAACCGAACCGCAACGGAACGCAACGAAATGCAACCTATTTAAGGGGGTTCCCCTGGCCGCGCTTTGAGAGTAACCGGGTGTGAAAATTCACTCGAAAAACCACCAAGGTTAACGATAAAAAACGAAAAACAAAGATCATCTCTAAATTTGTTCGTTTCCCCTAGCCTTTGTGGTCCTATACGTGACGTCACAGCAGCCATATTGGTGTTTCAAAACAATTAAACGGCGGCCATGTTTGGTTTGTTTTTATAAATTAATTTTGCATGGTTGCTGGGCTTGTGAGTGAAAGCGCTTTATAGATACTGATTGAGGGCAAATAAAGGACATTAAAAATAAAACGACACCGGCTAGAAGTGATCAATCATGGTCCTGCCCCACCATCATTACCGTCGATAGAAATTAATTAAAACTGTAGGCATGCCAAAATTTATAGCAATGTTTACAGTTCTTGGTGAGGTTATGTAGCAATGGGATGCAAAGAAGTTTTGCTCTTATTCCTGATTCAAACTATCGCCATTTTCTTGGCCGAAGAAGACGTTGACTCCACATTTTCTCGCTCATCATACTTCACAACGCGGGAAAATAAGCAGCTTAAAGGATACGTTGTCAAACGGTTTGATTCTCCCAGTTTGTTATCGTGCGGCCAACAATGTATGAGAAACGCTTGGTGTACTTCTACAAACTACAAGATGGCATCCAAGAAGGACGGCAAAGGAACTTGTGAACTGAACAAGCACGACATCTCACTCACCAACGAAAACAACACCTTTCTTCATGATGAGATAGGAGTTACGTTGGCGTTGCTGTTGAAGGTGAACTATATTGAATTAGTTTTATCTGAACTATTAAGAATAGCACCTGTTCTGTTACATTCCACTTTTTAAAACTTATTTATTCCAGAAGACATGGTTGTTAAGCCAAGTTCGATGTCATTGCTCTCTTCCCTTCCTTCTCCAGACACGGTTTGATTATATACCGAAAAGGGAATGTTTTATTGCTAAAATTCTGCTGCCATGGATAACATATCATCCATTGCAATTACACGTCAGAGTCTTTTATCTATATAACTATCATATGTTGAATTATTGTCGGAATTGTGCCGTTTGTCAGGAAACCCATTGCATGTACCTTGGACTCTATGCATAACAAAGTAGCTGTACTTGAATAAATAAAAGTAGATTAAAGTTAGATCAATGTAGAGTACAGGATCAGCTTTGAACAAACAGACTTTATAACTGACGCAAAGCTGATCAAATAGTTGAGGATGGTTTCTTTAATTTCAAAGCTTTGATCTGGCTCAATATTTCAGTTGGCCCGCAAAACTAGTTATTTTGAAAAGCTAAAAAAGCTCAGTTAATGTTACATTTGAAATATTTGTTTATTTATTTACGGTGTCTCCAATTAGCACATTTAATAGGGCTAAATACATTTGACACTTAAATGAAGTTATTATTATTATTATTATTATTATTAAATAAAGATTACTTGTTGATATATGGAATATTGTGCTATGCAGGAGTGGTAGAAGACAAACTAAAAATTTGAGAAATATAACTGCACCCTTCAAATTACCCTGGTTACAAATTTTACTCCTGATAACCCACGACTTGCATTGCTCCCATCTACGCTCGGAGCTCAGTCGGCAGAGCAACTGGGATGATTTTTTCGTAGTTCGTACGGTCAAGTTAATCGTTCCCGGAGCTCAAATACGTTCAGTTGTCTAAATTGGTTCTCTAATAATACCCCTCTAGGACTTCTAGGTCTAATCCGCAGAAGTAAATTCTTGGGTCTATTCTGTCACTTAAAATTACATATTACTTCACAGTTTATTCTCTATATTGATCAACGTTAACCTTTCCGTTTGCAATTCTCAGGATATTTATTCTCAGTTAATTTTATTCAGGGATGTTTGACCACCGGATGTCTCAATGGTGGTTCTTGCTTACCCGACAACGAAAAACAAACCTTTACATGTTCCTGTCACCGACCATGGACCGGAGCTAAGTGCGAAGGTAAAATGGTAGCAGTGAAGAGTTTTTTGAATCTATTTTCAGTAATAACAGTAAACAGTTACTATTACGCAAATCTCAAATGACGTTTTAAGAACTTTCCTCGTTGCCTAAAAAACACGACTTGTTTTGAGCAAACGGCCGGGCTTTTCGCTTGTTAATTATGAACTTCAAGGTATTGATTACCCAACTTTTTTGTTGAAAAGTGACAAAACAGGAACACCAGTGGTCAACACAGTCAAAAAGGTTGGGCCAGCAAAGTAGGACTATAAAAATAGATAATTGCCAAGGGAAAATTATGAAGGACTGAATTATAAATTATTTCTTCACATTGATTTATATTTACACAACTAGTGTTTATGGTTAAACGTGTAAATACGCCCAGATATTGTTTGGCATTTGCCGTATATTTTAAATCCGAATGACGTCACTATCAAACAATAATATATTGTCTCTTTTAGATCTAGCAGACTTGAATAGTTCAACGTGCAAGGAAATTTATGACAAGAACTTGTAAGTAATTTGCTCTCGCCATATTGATGAAGACAAAGAATACAAAATCCCATGGCCAAATCCAAACCTCTATACAGACAAAATGCAAAAGCTTTACCTTGAAATTAAAGAAAAACCTCGAAATAGTTCATTAAAGGTATAATGAAAAAACAAATAGAAAAAAAAAGAAAGAAAAAGAAAACAAAGATAAAATGTAATTACAGTATAATATAGCAAAAAGACGATCAAGTTGCGTTCATCACCGGGTTGATTTCATACAATTTTCGTTTTGAATTAAAGATTTAGAAGCCTAGAACAAATCTGTTTCTTTATACATCTGCTCTCCCGCTAAGTTTTGACCGACAAGGAAATCCAGGGGCACTGATCCCTCACTAACCTTACCCTAAGCTGGGAACCGGGTCTTTGCCATCGGTTGTACTTTCTTGTTGGTTAGAACTTGTTCGATGACCCGTTACCCCGTTAGGTATAGATATGGTCCAGAAACCACCCCCTCCTTCCAAGGCACGTGTAGTTTGGTATGGTATTTGACCAAGAATCATTTGCTGGAAAGAGAAAGCTGAAACGCTGCTGCTGGAAAACAGAAGCAGATATAGACTAACTAGTATCTTACGAAACTGTTTTAAAATGCTTATTGGTTGGTTCCTTCATAAGCATCAATGATGGTTCTAGATTAGCTCGTTGTGTGCCCCTGAAGATAAAATTGAATACGCATCAAGGGTGTCCTCAAAGACTCTTTTTTTTTTTAATCTTAATTAATTGCTACTTACACTGCTTACAGTACAATATTAATGTAGTTACTTACACTACTTACAAAAAAACTTGTTACTTACGCCACTTACGATACTAACACTTACTCTATACAATACGCATACTCACGCTACTAACAATACTA